ACAGACAACTGATCTTTGATAAGGGCCCCAAAAATACCCAATGGGAAGCAGATGCCCTCTTTAACAAGTGGTGCTAGAAGAAATGGATATTTACCTGCAGAAAAATGAAGCAAGACCCTTATCTCACTCCATGTACATAAATAAACTCAAGGTGAATCACAGACCTTGAAGTTAAACCCCAAACTATTAGGGCCATCGATGAGGGAATTGGGACCAACTTGAGAACTTTGGCACAGGGAATACATAGGCTATCAGAAATAAGGAAGGACACAAACACAGAGGAGGCACAAATTGACAAATGGGATATACTGAAGATAAAACACCCGAGTACATCGAAAGAATTCACGAAGAGAGTAATAGAGTCCACGGACTGGGAAAACATCTTTAGCAGTGACACATCAGACAAAGGTCTTATTACTAAAATCTACAATATTCTGCTAGCTTCCAAAAAGATAAAAACTAATTGCCCACTGAGGAGGTGGGAAAAGGACCTGAACAGAAGTTTCACAGGGGCAGAAATCTGAATGGCCAACAAGCATATGAGAAAATGTTCCTGATCTCTAGCCATAAAAGAAAAGCAAATTAAAACAACAATGAGGTAACACCCAACACCCTCAAAGATAGCCAAATTCAAAACCTCAGAAAGCAACAAGTATTAGAGGGGCTGTGGGGAGACAGGTACTCTCATACACTGCTGGTGGACCTGTAATTATGTACAGCCACTATGGAAATCAATCTGGCAATATCTAAAACAGATGGAAATTGAGTTATCACACGACCCAGAAATCCCCCTACTGGGCATATACCAAGAAGAGGTAAGATACAAACCAAGGTGAGACATCTGTGCTCCAATGTTCATTGCTGCACAGTTCACAATTGCAAGGAGTTGGAAACAACCCAAATTCCCATCAACTGACAAGTGGATTAAAAGCTGTGGTACATACATACAATGGAGTACTATGCATCGCTAAAAACCAGTGATGAATGTATGAAGCACATGACTGCATGGGAAGAACTGGAGGAAATCATGCTAAGCGAAGTAAGCCAAGCACAAGTGGGACAAGAGGAAAGTCAAAGGAAATAGAGGAAAGAGCTAGGAGGCAAAGGGCATTTATAGAGGTCTAAACAAAGGTGTGTACATATGTAAATATACTTATATATGAGGATGAGGAAATAGATCTATGTGCATATATTTATAGGTTTAGTATTAAGGTAGCAGAAGGACAATGGGCCTCCACTCAAGTATTCCCTCAATGCAAGAATACTTTCTTCTATTAAATAGGCTTTCTATGATGCTTACCTTCCCAACACAA